GTAAGACTTACTTAACTTCTCCCCACCTCCTCTTCTCCCAAAGATAATGGCCCCGTTGCAGCCCAGCACATCCAGGGCCCACACGCTGCCCTCGCGGAGACAGCCTGGCCTGTTGCACCTCCAGAGCTGCGGCGACTTGAGCACCTTCACACCAGCGGGGAGGCCCCAAGCTGAGAGGAGGCCCCGGCGAGTGGAGGCTGAGCGGCCACATAGCCTCATTGGGGTCATCCGAGAGACTGTCCTGTGAACCCTGGAAAACAGAAGGCCACTCCAAGGGGAAGGATTCACCTCCTCTCTGCCATTTCCTTGCTGGGAGCTGGGGTCCCCATCAAAAAAAAAAAAAGAGCACTGTGGAGGACACATTTTCACACTTGTTGGCTTCCATGTCTGCTGACCGAGGGCATTCAGGGGTAAATGCACATGTCAGCCCAGGCCCATTTGGGTTTGGGCTGCACGGAGTTGGAGGTTATGAAAGCATTGATCCTCTCCTTCCTCTGCTGGGCCTCGTGGCATTCCCAAGGGTCACATGTCCTGGCGTGGGCAGAAACTGGGCTAATGATTCTTTGCCCACTTTACCCCTCGAGTCTCTCTTTGTTGCTAAGTTCTTTTCCTCTTGGAAGGGCAGCTCTGCTGGGCTGCTATTTTTAGCTGCCTGTGGCCTTTCACTGCTAGGTGAATTGGCAGGAAATAAGGTGATTAACCCTATGTGTCCACAAGCCTCAAGCTTGTTTCAGGTCACCCTCAAATCATACTCTTTAGACAAAACAGGAAATTTTTTAAGTGAGAAATTTTAATGCAAGACATACAAGGAGAGGATTATTGATTCCATTTACTCATGCTTGCAAAATTAGAGACCCCTAAGGCAGAGCTAAGAATAAAAATGTTTACTTTGGGCCGCTAGGCTTGATGTGTAATAATTGTTTATACTCAGGTGGCCAGGCCTTGCCTTACAGAGGGCTGGGAACTTGGAGCTGTGACGGTCAGGCTCACCATGCAGGCCACTGAACCAGTTTAATTTATAAAGCATCCAAAGCCCATGGATAACATGTGTCCTTCATTCAGTCAGCAAGAACTTGGCTCAATGGCTTCATGGAGCTGCCTTCTCATGGGATCATGAACAATAAAATCAAAGTACAGATTGGAGATGATTGCTGAATAGATAGGTGGTTAGAGAAACTTCTTTGAGAAAATGACACTTGAGCTGAGTCACAACTTAGAGGGTCAGGGACGAATGTTCCAGGTAGAGAGAGGTGAAGAACATCAGAGGCCACTGTGACCACAGCCCTGAGTCAGGGCAGCAGTGGACAGAAGCTGCACAGACTGCCTGTTGCTAACAATGAGATACGGTTGAGGAGTTTTCAGGAGAGTGATGGATGTCAGCATATTTTCAGATCACTATGCTGCATGGAGAATAGTTTAGGCCAGCCATGAGTGGAGGTGAGGAACTGAGTGAAGAGGTTACATAGGAGGTGGAATATTGCTTCTTGCTGGCCACTGCCTGTGCACCAGATACTAGGCCAAGAGCTTTGCACACGCTCCCATTTTATGCTTGTGACAGCATAGGCAGTAAGAGCTGTTATTGTCCCTATTTTACAGATGTGGAAAATGAGGTTCATTCATTTTCCTGTGGTCCCTCTACAGCTGTGGGTTTGCCATTTCATGTTTCTGTGAGAAAGGGCTGTTAAGATTTCTAGCTTACCTCCTCAGACCAGAGACTCCCTGGCTCCAAGCCAACAAAGCATGCCAGAATGGGAACTGTTGTGGGGACAAGGACTGGAGAAAAGGAAGGGCAAGACTCCCATGTGGAGGTGCTGAGCTGGGGTGGGAAGGGGGCTGTGGAAACAGCCCTGGAAATGGGGCAGAGATGGAGGCCTGCCAACAGGCTGGGGTCTGGGCCCTTGCGTGGGGTGAGCTGTGTTTGGGGAAGATCTACAGTGACATCTCAGAATGACATTTTCTATGTTCTTATTCTCTCATTCCCAGAAACTGAATTCCCCTTCAGGCTCATGATCTTTCCATTTCTCTAGGAGTCCTGTCAGCACCACAGCTGTCCACTGTCCACTGTGGGCTGGCCCACTTCCCGGGTAAGCCCCTGCCTTGTTTGAAGGGCTCACTGCAGCGCTCTGACATTCCGTGGACTGCCCATGTGGCCCAGTCTAGTTTCTTCTCTCCTTCACAGCTGCTTGTGTACCCCCAAACTGGTTTCTCCAGGTGAGGCCCCACAGCTCTTAGCCAACTACTTTGTCCCTCTCTCATAGCCAGGCAGGACAAGGGACCAGCCTTCCCTTCCCTCACTCAGACCTGGCTAGGCCTTTCTCACCTCTCTGGGCTTCTGTTTTTTTCCCAGCTGCATTCTTTCCCACCTTCCCTTCTGAACCCTGTTGCTCACACCTCCACCTGCCACTACAGGCCTCCCTGTGTGAAAGGCTCAAGGAAGACAGGTCGGTACCACAAGTGTGGGCAATGTCTGGCTTCTAGCCTTGGGGGGGCAGTCAGAGATGGCCTCAGTCATCCCAAGGAATGAGAAATTGCCAGCACCAGCCAGAAGAGGAAAGGAGGCATAAAGTCTGAGAGCATTAGTTAGATGGACACCAGGAGCAAGGGGGGCTTCATAGAATTGTCCCTGCAACTTGAGAAATGGCATGTAATTCTAGGACTTGAAGGTATTGGAGAAATCTGAAAACCTACTTCTGTCTTCCTTCCCTGACTTTAAGGACTATTGAAGTAAAAAAAAAAACAAAAAAACCCCAAAACCATATACATATATATAATGTAATACAATAGTTTTTATATATTTAGCATGGGGGGGAACTCAGAGGTCATGTGATTTATCTCCTTGCTAGTTCATCTGGATGGTAGTATACTTTTAAATATTTAAGCATTAAGAATGACACACATGCTCATAGGTTAACTGAATATCCATAGGGAGGGCAGCTGTTTTGCCTTTGGTGTTCTTTAGGAATCCACAGTCCAGAGGTGTTGATAAAACATTTCCAATGTGGGTATCAAAATGACACCAGAGGTTGATTAATTAGCATGAGGGATGTTGAAATAAGTTTTCACTGGTAAAGTAAATAATGTTCATGATATGTGGCCAGCTAGGAGCACTACACAGTCGTCATTGCCTCTGTACCAATGAGACATAAGAATCTGGTCCCCACTTTGTGACACTGTCACAGGATGGACTGGGATGTGGGCTGCTCCCTCAAGCCCCAACCTTTCAAGCAAGCTACATGTCTGAGAGTCTGAGGACAGCTAGGACTTTCCCTAGCATACGAACTGTTGTGTGTAGTCTTGCTAATGAGTGTGTCTGGTTGGTAGAATTGCCCAAGATTTGCTTTCATGGGAGCATCTTGATGGTGAGGTTTGGAGGAGGAGTCTATGGCCCCTCATGCTAGAGGCTGCCTGTATTTGTCAGAAGAACCAAACATTTGCTGAACTATCAAATTGGGTCGGTCAGATCATGCTACCTCCTCAATTTGCAGAAGAGGAAACTGAGGCTCAGTGCTAAGAATGGGGCAGGGTAAGAGACAAGCACTTCTGGCTGGAGTTAACTCTTGGTGTCGTCCATTCCATGAATTTGAACAATGCATAATGACAAGTATGCCCCACTGTAGTGGTACATAGAGTAGTTCCACTGCCCTAAAAATCCTCTGTGCTTCTTTTAGTCATGCCTCTCTCCCCTAACTCCTGGCAACTATTGATCCTTTTACTGTCTCCATAGTTTTGCTTTCCCCAGAATGTCCTACAGTTGGAATCATGAACTATGTAGCCTTTTCAGACTGACATCTTTCACTTAGTGGTATGCATTCACATTTCCTCCATCTTTCCATGGTCTGATAATCCATTCAAACCCTTTAAAAATTATTTGATTCAATGGTCATAAAAGTATTCCATCAAGTTAACATCTCAAAACAGTTACCCTCGTTTTCTGAATTTACTCATGTCAGGGACCAGGGAAAACCAAGCCTGCAGCCCACACTGGATTAGTGCTCACCTGGGTTCCCACACTGGATGGAGTCTCCCAGTTTCATTTGTCCCATGTGATAGGCGCTGGGGACACTGATGAAGAGGACTGGGAGGGAACAGGTGGAGACCCCCTCTTTCCTCTGCACCCGTGTCCATCTGTGAGGCTACCTGTGAGCTGAGACCCATCCTCACAGCGAGGCCCGCGGTGCGAAGGTCCGAGGCTTTGGCGAGTCCCCCAGGATTAGGAAGAACTGGCAGAGGAAGGAGAGAGCTGCAGCCAGGCCTCTACCCAGAGGAATGGAATTCTGGAAGCAGAACAAAGGGGCCCATCTCCACCTTCCCCCAGGCCCTTCAGGATGCAGAGGAGGATGGTGGGGCCAGTAGGGAAGGGCCCAGGACAAGGCCATCTTTGTTTCCTCATTGTTCCTCCCTGAGGCATCTGCAAAGAAAGCCAAGTCTGGGGCCAAAAGACACCACTTTTCTTCCACTCCTCTCTGCAGGAGTCTTCAACCTTTCATTCACTCAACAGGTATTTATGGAGCTCCAGAGTACCAGGCCGTGGGCCAGGGCTGAGGGAAGAATGCTAAACAAGAACAGGAGACACAAATCACAAATTACACATGCAAAGCCACCTTCCTCTTGGCTGCAGAACCGTGCCCAGGCCCCAGCAGGGAGGAGGAGCCAAGAGAGGGTGACTTTGAGACCAACGGGTGCACGCCTGGATTCTCAGAGGCTGGCATGAAGGATCTCTCATCCCTGATTATCAAACAGGCTCACACAGCAGGTGATTCACCATCCTGGGAATTCTTTGAGAAAAGTTATTCATGACTCTTGTTAAAGATAGTAATGGGCTGGGTTCAATGGCTCACACCTGTAATTCCAGCACTTTGGGAGGCCAAGGCTGGTGGATTACCTGAAGTCAGGAGTTCCAGACCATCCTGGCTGACATGGTGAAACCCTGTCTCTACTAAAAATACAAAAATTAGCCGGGTGTGGTGGTGGGTGTCTGTAATCCCAGCTACTTGGGAGGCTGAGGCAGGAGAATCACTTGAACCCAGGAGGTGGAGGTTGCAGTGAGCCAAGCTGTGCCATTCCACTTCAGCCTGGGTGACAGAGTGAGACTCTGTCTAAAAAAAAAAAAAAAAAGATGGTAAGGAAGACTTTATTCAAGCAGGAGCCACTGCAGTGGGGTTCTGCAATAAAATTAAACCCCAGACACAGCAGGACAAATGGAGATTTATATGACCACAGAGCAAGGTTGGGTTCAGTAGATAGAAAAGTACTAGGAGGAAAGAGGGCTAGGGCAATTCTTGATAGACCAACTCGCTAGGATTCTTGCTGAAGGCAGGCCAGGGTGATAAGCTATTAGGGTAGGGAATGAGGAATGTGATCAGATACAAGGACAGGAGATTTTTGCTAAACTGACTCCAGAGAATTCTTTCTAAAACTGGACTGAGTCCAAAGTCAGAAAGAGGACTCAGGCAGGATGCAATGGCTCACGTCTATAATCCCAACACTTTGAAGGCTGAGGTAGGATAATCACTAGAGTCCAGGAGTTCAAGAGCAGACTGGGCAACACAGTGAGACCCTGTCTCTACAAAAAAATGTAAAAATCAGCCAGGCATGGTGGTGCATTGTCTGTAGTCTCAGCTACTTGGGAGGCTGAGGTTAGAGGATCACTTGAGCCCAGGAGGTTGAGGCTGCACTGAGCCATGATTGCTCCACTGCACTCCAAACTGGGTGACAGAGTGAGACACTGTCTCAAAAAAAAAAAAAAAAAAAATCAAAAAATAAAAAGACACTGGACTCAGAGAAGCCTTACTCAAGTTTGATCAAGGGGCGGGTTTGTCAGACTCTTAAGGAGCACCTCCGTTTCTGAGTGGGAACTCTCATCACACTGTGTCCCTTGCCTCAGGCTTGTCACTGTCTCAAGAAAAATGCTCCTTTCATTCCAACAGCTGGCAGGATCTATGTGTTTTGCCCTAACAAAGAAGCTAGAGCCAAAATTCAGGATGAGTCATCATTCTTCTCTGGCAAAGTGGCTGTAGGTCCCAGGTCTATGGAGGCTTTCCCAGAATCTTTTAGATACTGTTCATGAATTCTGATCCCAAAGGAACATTTCATAATGGGGGCAGGGTCTCATATTAGGCAGAAAAGAATTCCAGGCAAGGAGAGTTTCTGGGATTATTCTGCTCTGGTCATGAGCTGTTTCTCCTGCCATCCCATATCTGCTTGGTGGAAGCAAACAGTAATCATACACCAAAATATGAGAGGTGTCAGGCATGGAGGCCTCTCTCCTCATTTTGTAGATGAGGAGACTAACATCTGGAGTGGTAAAAAGATTTGCATGGGCTCATACATGCGCCAAGCGTCAGCATGTCACAATGTTAGCCTGTCTCTCCGGCCTTCCATCATAGCAGACTGCTTGCTCTTCTCTAGACTGCTGTGGCAGGGAACTATGGGGAGGCAAAAGAAAGACACCAGTGGAACTCATAGGGAGCTGAAATGGTAATACCAGTGAATCACTTAGAAATAGTGATAAGGAGGCCAGGCACAGTGGCTTATACCTGTAATCCTAGCACTTTGGGAGGCTGAGGTGAGAGGATTGCTTGAGCCCAAGAGTTGCTTGAGCAACACAGTGAGACCCTGTTTCCACACACACACACACACACAAAAGCCAGGCAGGGTGGTGCACACCTGTGGTCTCAGCTACTTGGAAAGCTGACGTGGGAGGATTACCTGAGCCCAGGAGGCTGAGGCTGGAGTGCCACTGCACTCCAGCCTGGGTGAGAGAGAGACCATGTCTCCAAAAAAAAAAAAAAAAGACTAGCATTTATTGTGAGCCCATCCAGGACTATCTTATTAACTTAGTTCAAATAATCTTCACAGTAGTCTTCACAATTCTATACCAGTTCTTATGATTCTACTTGATTTCTCTTGTTTAATTACATTGGCTGACATCTCTAATACAGTTGAAGAGTAGTGGAAACAGAACATCCTTGTCATGTGCCTGATCTTAGAGGAAATGCCTTTGATGTTTCTCCCTTAAATAAGATACTAGCTTTAAGACAAAAATAAATGCACAAATAATGTATAAAGATAGATACCTCAGTTCCTATGTTCTTGAGGGTTTTTGTTTTGTTGTAGTTGATTTTTGTTTGTTTCATGAAGTGGTATTGGCTTTTTTTTTTTTTTTGAGACAGAGTTTCACTTTGTCACCCAGGCTGGAGTGCAATGGCTCAATCTCAGCTCACTGCAGCCTCTGCCTCCTGGGTTCAAGCAATTCTCCTGCCTCAGCCTCCTGAGTAGCTGGGACTACAGGCACGCACCACCATGCCGGGCCAATTTTTGTATTTTTAGTAGAGAAGGGTTTCATCATGTTGGCCAGGATGGTCTCCATCTCCCGACCTTGTGACCTGCCTGCCTCAGCCTCCGAAAACTGCTGGGATTACAGGCGTGAGCCACTGCGCCCAGCCTGGGTATTGGATTTTGTCAAAGGCCCGCTCAGCATCTCTGGAAATAATCATATGTTTTTTTCCCCCTTAGGTTTATTAATGTGGACTATGCTATTAATGGATTTTGAGTAGTAAACCAACCTTGAATTACTGAATAAATCCCATTAATTCATGGTGTATTATTTTCTTAATGTGATGTTGGATTCTGTTTGCTAATATTTTATTTCAAAAATTTTCAATGCTATTTATTAATGATATTGGTATGTATATTTCTGTAAACTCTTGATCTGGTTTGGGTATCAGTGTTTTATTAGCTTCATAAAATGAATTGGGAAATGAATTTTTCAGTGCTCTGAAATATTTTAGAGAACACTGGGATAGCTGGTCTTTGGAGATATGGTAGAATTTCCTGTCAAAGCCATTGGTGCTGTACTGCAGGTAATTCCTTAATATATTTTTCTATTTCTTTTATTAAAATTCATCCATTTAAACTTTCAAACTCTAGTGAGGGTCAATTTTGGTAATTTTTATCTCCCCAGGAAAACATCTATCTACTTCACCCAGTTTTTCAAACTTATTTGCATAGAAATTTATCATATCTTATAATTAATAAAAATTTTTCTGTTCCAATGGTTATTTTCCCCTGGTCATTTTAAATTTTCTATCTTTATGGTTTTCCCTCATTTTTCTTGTTAGATTTTTTTTTTAAAAACTATATTTATTAATTATATCCAGTGTCTGCTCATTTTCTCATTAATTTTTGCTTTTAGGTTTTTTTTTTTTTTTTTTTTGGCAGGGTCTCACTTCGTCATCCAGGCAGAAGCTCAGTGGTGAGATCATGGCTCACTGCAGCTTCGACCTCTCCAGGCTCAAGTGATACTTCTACCTCAGCCTCCCATGTAGCAGGACTACAGGCACACCACAGCCAGCTAGTATTTGTATTTTTTGTAGAAATGGGGTTTCATCATGTTGCCCAGGCTGGTCTGGAACTCCTGAGCTCAAATAATCCTCCCGCCTCAGCCTCCCAAAGTGCTAGGAATACAGACCTTAGCCACAGTGACTGGCCACCTTTAGCTTTAGTATTATTATTATTATTATGCTTTATTTTGCTTTTCTTTATTGTTCATTTCTTGGTGCTTTGAGCTAGAAATTTAATTCATTTCATGTTATTTTCATTGATAAAGTGTTTAGCACAATGGATTTTCTTATCACTGCTTGAATTGCATCCCATAGAATCTGATATATTTTCATTGTGATTAGGGACCCCCTTGGAAATAAAGAATACAAAATTAGGTACAGGGCACTGAAAGGGGCTACTTGTGGGATAATCTATGTTACTTGAATTTCAGTAACTTCACAATAAATCCACTGCTGTTCAAGAATAAGGCTTGGGAGTTTACACCTGAGTTTTGGGTAAGTGGTTGGCATTTTTGAGATGGGCAGCAGTAAGAAAATACCCTGAGGGCATGAGTAACAAGAAAAAGGAACGAAAGAGAGTGAACTATCATGTGTATCTTGTGCCAGTCACTTGGCAGAATTAATCTCAATATGAGCTTACCATGTGTGTGATTGTTGTACTATCACCAGTTGCAAATGATTAAAAGGAGTTTCTGAATGTTAAGTCATGCCTTTCAGATCACACAGTTGGTTAAGTGAGCCTACATCCAGCCCAGTCCAACCCTGAAGCCCATGTTTTTTTCACTACACTCACCACGTTGCTGGTGCCAGAAAGGACTGGCTTCAGTGCTCCCCCCATCTTCTTCTAGAAGCTGTAAGCTGAGGAACTTCTTACAGAAAGTCACCTGGAAAGACAAGTACTGGCAGTGTGGAATTACTTATTGCAGGGCATTATTCAAAACATGGTGACCACAGTAGTCATCTATTGCTGTGTAATGAATTATCCCCAAATGACAAACGTTTATTATGTCACAGGCTCTGAGGGTCAGAAATCCAGGAGCAGGTTAGCTGGGTGCTTCTGGCTCAGGGTTTCTCATAGGGCTGACATCTAATGGTTGGCTAGAACTACACTCACCTTATGACTCAACTGGGGCTGGAGGATCTGCTTCCAAGCTCACTTATGCAGTTGTGGATGGGCGTCAGTTTCTCACTGGTTACTAAGAATTCACCATGTAGAATTCTCACCATGTAGGTCTCACTGTGTAGGCTTCTCCATAAGGCTGCTCACAACATGGCAGCTTGCTTCCCAGAGTGAGACATGTGAGTGAGAGAGAGAGAGAGAAAGAGAGAGAGAGAGAGAGAGAGTCACAAACCAGAAAGCCCACCCAAGATGGAAGCCACACATTCTTTTTATAACATATCTTAGAAGTGATATACCATCATTTATGTTTATTAGAAGCAAACCACTAGGTCCCACCCACACTCAAGGGGAGAGAAATTGAGCTGCACCTTTGAAGGAAGGGGTATTTACAATATGTGTGGACGTTGATGAAGTTAAGGACACATGTCTCAGTCTGTTTTCTGTTGCTATAACCGAGTACCTGAGACTGGGTAATTCTTTTTTGGATGGAGTCTTGTGGTGCCACGCAGGCTGGAGTGCAGTGGTGTATCTTGGTTCACTGCAGCCTCCATCTCCTAGGTTTAAGTGATTCTCCTGCCTCAGCCTCCTTAGTAGCTAGGATCACAGGCACATGCCATCATGCCAGGCTAATGCTGGTATTTTTAGTAGAGATGAGGTTTCACCATGTTGGCCAGGCGGGTCTCAAATCCTGACTTCAGGTGATCCACCTGCCTTGGCCTTCCAAAGTGCTGGGATTACAGGAGTGAGCCACCATGCCCAGCCTGAGACTCGGTAATTTATAAAGGAAAACATTTTATTTGGCTCACAGTTTAGGAGACTGTGAAGTCCAAGAGCATGGTGGCAGCTTCTGGCAAGGACCTTGGTACTGTGTCATAGCATGTAGAGAAGTGAAAAGGGAAGTGGGCGTGAGCAAAAGGAGGGAAAAACATGAGGGATGGCCTCACTTTATAGCACCCTGCTCTCCTGGCAACTAATCCAGTCCCTTGAGAGCAAGAACTCACTCCCATCAGAATCAACTCAGTCCTGAAAGAGCAGGGCTAATGTCTCCTAATGACCTAATCACCTCTTAAAGACCCCATACCTCCCAATCCCATCACACTGGGGACCAAATTTCCAACACATGAATTCTGGGGAATACACTAAAATCACAGCAACACACTACCCCAAAATATGCCACCTTGGCATTTGAGAAAACAGCCGAAGTGGGAAACTCACATTCGCCTTCTCCTCACTCTTTTCTCCTAAAGCAGATCACAAAACCTTTCTAGAGATTTCCTTCCTATACCCGAAGAAAGGAATGTCTTTTTCTCTGAAGATGCCAGGACACAGAGAGGAATGTGAGCAACCAGGCCTTGCTTAAGTTTCCCCAGTTTATTACCATTAGATAATAACCTGTCTACACCTATCCACTTCTTCATCAAACTCAGCATAAAAATACCTAAGTTTCTTTCTTCCTTTGGTTCTTCAGTTTTAAAGGCTTGCATGTCACGTGAACTTTATAGGTTAAATAAATTTGTATGCTTTCTGTCTTGTTAATCTGTGTTTTGTTACAGGGTCCTCAGCCACGAAGCTAGCCATGGGTGAAAAGAGGAATTATTTCTCTCTTACAATGTATTTTCAGGCCATCACAGGGATACTGGCTGTATATGCAGTATATCCAGCCTTTCAGAAGTTATCCCTGCCATGGGATTTGTAACAAGGGCATTTTGTCTAGGCTGAGCCATCCTCTAGAACCCATTCCTTGCTCTACCTGGAAATCTAAGCCTCAGCATGCCCTGTGGTGTATAGAGAAGAGGTCACCCTCATTCATGCCTGTATTCATTCACTCACTCAGCAAATATTCATCAAGTGACAACAAGATGTTGGGCGCAGCCCCAGGTACTGGGGATTGAGAAGTGGACAAAGCACATGAAGTCCCTGCCCTCATAGAGCTCACATTTCAATGGAAGGAACCAGACAATGAATCAAAAGATAATTGAAGGGGCTATGAAGAAAAAGAATGGATAGGAAGTGATGAGCACTGCTACCTTAGAGTGACCATGGTCGGTCCTCTGTACTGTGTTGTAGGAGGTGCTCAGAGAAATCCCTTCTGCTGAGGATACATTTCAGCAGAAATTTGAATGAAATGAGAGTCAGCCACGGGGATACTGGGAGAAAGGTAGCAGGGGTAAAGGCCTTGAGGCAGGAGTGTTCTCGGTGTGTGTTCAAGGAGTAGTGTGGTTGGAATGGAGTGAACAAGGGAATGATAAATAGGAAATGAAATCAGAGATAGGAGCCAGATCAGGGCTTTGCAAGGTCCTTGGATTTCGCCTAGTGTGATCGGACTCACTTGGAGGGTTTTGAGCACAGGAAAGATGCAATCTGATTCATTATCACTCTGACTGCTAAATGAGGGATGGGATGGAGGAGAAAAGAGGAAACTGGGCTAATTAGGAGGCAGCTGTGGTCATTCATGTAAAGGTCGTGGCTTGTTCTGAGGAGGACACAGTGCAGGTCATGAGACATGGTCAGATTTGGATGTGATACCTCCTGCATTGCTGTTTCCAGGACGTGGTGCTGACAACTTAAGACAAGGATGTTTCTGCTGCCTTCGTATGTTTCTAGTTAACTGTTGGTCATTCTTTCAACAAAGTCTCATGTTATATACTATGTGCCAGGTGCTATCCTGGCATAATGGTGAAAGAAGTGAGCCAGACACTGCCCCCACCCACGTGACACAGAACAGCAGGGAAAAGAGGCAGAGCAGACACATCACAGTCCATTGTGCTAAATGCTGGAAAAAAATACTAGAGGCATCACAAAGCAGCAAGCCATTCACCCTGGGAGAAGGCACGAAGACAGAATAGGATTTGCATGGGCAGGAATGGGGTGTAGGATAAAGCTGTCCGTGTCTGGAAGCAGTGAGGAGCCAAAGATGAGGCAGGACAAAAGTAAGAGCCAGGTTTCTAAAGACCCTGGAATGCCAAACTAAAGCCATTAGACTTGGCACACGGGGAGGTCCTGAGAAAGCCCAGTGGCAGCAGAGAGTATGAATGGGAGTGGAAAAAACTGGAAATATGAACTTCTTTTTTGGTGCTATTGCTAATACCATTAGGAAAGATTCAGGATTTAAGAACAAAGATATTAATTGCAGCACAAGTTAAAATAGCAAGAAAAAAGTGGAAATAGGCCTAATACCCAGCAAGAAGAATAAATTATTTCACATTAACATTTAAATAATTGTATATAAGCCTCTTGGGAGGTTGAGGCATGAGTGAGAATCGCTTGAAACTGGGAGGCGGAGGTTGCAATGTGCCAAGATTGTGCCACTGCACTCCAACCTGGGTGAAAGAGTGAGACTCTGCCTCAAAACAAAACAAAAAAATTGTATATAAGATAGCATAATATATTGACATTAAAAATGGTTTTCTTTGGGAGGCCAAGGTGGGTGAATCATGAGGTCAAGAAATCAAGACCAGCCTGGCCAACATGATGAAACCCTGTCTCTACTAAAAGTACAAAAATTAGCTGGGTGTAGAGGCACGTGCCTCTAGTCCCAGCCACTTGGGAAGCTGAGGCAGGAGAATTGCTTGAACCTGAGAGGTGGAGGTTGCAGTGAGCTGAGATTGCACCATTGCACTCTAGCCTGGCAACAGAGTGACACTCCGTCTCAAAAAAAAATGTTTTCAGGCCAGGTGTGATGGCTCACACCTGTAATTCCAGCACTTTGGGAGGCTGAGGCAGGAGGATCACTTGAGGTCAGGAGTTCGAGACCAGCCTGGCCAACATGGTAAAATCCCGTCTCTACTAAAAATACAAAAATTAGCCAGGTGTGGTGGCGGGCGCCTGAGAAATACACATGGTCCACACAGTTTAAATGGAAATACATCGAAGGGCCACAGTGATTCTCTCTGGATGTTGAGATTATATGTAAAGATTGACATCTGAATCTGACCACGTCTCATGATCTCCACTATGTCCTCCTCAGAACAAGCCGCCACCTTCTTTACCTGAAGATTGCTTTTTCCCTTTTTATGTTTCTAAATTGTTGAGTTTTCATGTGAATATGCATTTGTTTTATAGCCAGAAAAATTATTTCTAAATAAATATTGAAAATTGATTTAAAATAAGGATCCGCCCAATCTGATGGAGAAGGGTGGCCTGAAGAAGCTGATTTTGAGCAGAGAACTACTTTGGAAGCGGAAGTGGGGGGGGTCGGAGAAAGAACTAACTTGCTCTCTGATTGGGGGTGGGAGAGACAGAAGAATCAAAGATCAATTCAGCCTCACCTCTTCAGCCCTCCTCAGCGCAGCAGCCAGAGCGGTCCTGTTAAAACAAGTCAGATCACATCTTCCTCTGCTCACTACAGCCGGTGGCTACCACGTTGCTTAGCATAGACACTAGTATCCTTAGAGTCACTTCACAGCATAAACTTCCCACCCGTCCTAGGGTTCTCTCTCAGTTCCCGGCCTCTTCTCCTCACATTCTCTCCCTCCCTCCCTCTGTTCTCCACACTCTTCCTGGAACAGGTGTAGGAGTTCCTGCCTCAGGGCCTTTGCACCTGCCAGCAATCTGCCTGCTTTCTGTGTCTGTTTTGCCCTCTCAACTCCCTCGAGTCTTGACTCCAATGTATCTTTCTCAGGAGACCTTTTCTGGCCGTCCTCTGCAAATTACAGCCTCTAGAACTGTTAACTTTTCCCTGCTTATTTTTTCTCTGCCTGCCCCTAACTATAACCATCTCTTTTACTTATTTAACTTGATTTTTTGGGTCTCCTTCGCTGTAATATAAACAGCGGGAAAGGAGGGATTTTGTGTTTTGTTATGGGGATTTTGCCTAGGTTGAAGCCATCCTCAAGATAAGACCACAAAAAGACCACGAGATTTACCCAAAGCTTAGTAAAAGGCATTTCTTTGATGGCTAAACTTTCAATAGTTAACTCTCTTGTTACATTTCCACATTATTCCTCGGTCACTTTCTCTGTTTTCGGGAACAGCATAATTTAGACTGGAGATTGTGGGGAGGTGGTGGTAACCGGGGTCCGGCCTACCGGAGGATGGGGGCCACGGGGGCCTTCAGATCTCCTCGCAATGGTTCCAGCGCGGCTCCCACCTCCTGGGGCGCTGGGGGCGGTGCTGCTTCCGTGGCGGTTTCTGGCGGGTTGAGGCCTGGGCGCCGCGCTGATCGTCCAAGACATTCTCCCCGCCGCAGTGGCAGGTCCGGTTCTCCTGGCGGGGGCGCGGGTCGAAGGCGCGTAGACCGTGTCCCCGTGGGGGCTTCTGGGAGTCCAGCTCCCACCGGAGAGGGAAAGGCCGCTGCAGGCTGACGCCAGGTGCCTCTCAGGCGAGCTGTGCTCGTGTCTCCCTGGGCCCTCCCCGCTTCTGGCGCAGAATGGAGACTTCGGTGTCCCAGGCCGGGAAAAACGCCACCCTCATCAGACTGGCTGAGAACCCTAGGACCCCGCCTAGTGGGAGCCGCTGCTCTGGAGGGAACGTTCTGGAACGCGGGGCGGGGTCGGTGGACACTTCTCTCCTGCCTCTGGGTTCCAGCCTGATGTCTCCTTCCCGCCTCATTAGTTCTCAAATGGAAATAACCTGAGGAGAAAAGCAGCAGAGGGGGGTGTTTTATTCCATGATCAGCCGAGGGAACACTGAGGAAGGAGGGGGACGGGGACTAGGCCGTCCCGGGGGAGGGATCTAGACCAGGCCAGGCCGCAGACTCCTTTTCCCGCCGGGCCACGTCCCGGGGTTGCTGTATTCCCCCGCGGGCCACCAGGTGGCTGGAGCGGGTCACAAACCGGGCTGGACAAGGCCAGGAGAGCCGGGGCCACCTCCAAGCAGGGCGAGTCCCAGCCTATGGGGACGCCAGGCTAGGACGCGGGCCACTGAGGCTCCTAAATCGCCGTGGCTAACAGTCCGGGAACGATGGCCACAGGCCTCGCATCTGCAGCTCGCAGCGCCGTGGTGGCACCGAGCCGCGCTGGGAAGCTCCTTCCTCTGAAGGAAGGCTGAAGGGTGAGAACAGCACTGGCAGTTTCCAGCTGCCACCACTCAGAGCTCTTCTTTAGTCAAGAGTGAAATAAAACAATAAAATAGAACTGAGATCCGTCACCTTTCAAGGACCCAGAAGTAGGGTTTTGGCCTAGGTAACGGGGCAGAGATGTGGTTCGAGATACTCCCCGGACTCGCCGCCATGGGCGTGTGCTTGCTTATTCCAGGACTGTCTACTGCGTACATCCACAAGTTCACTAACAGCGGCAAGGAAAAAAGGGTTGCTCATGTTTTGTATCCATGGAATTTGATGGAAAGAGATAGGCGCATCTCTGGAGTTGATCTTTATTATAAGTCAAAGGGTTTGGAGAACATTGATTAAAGAAGCATTTTCGTGAATGATGAAAAAATAACTCAGTTATGGTCATCTACCCCTGCTAGAAGATTATACAGTATATTATGTAGCATGCAGTGTGTTATGTAGTGCTTAATAAAAATAAAATGAAAAAAAAAAAAGGCAAAAAAAAAAAAAAATGGAACTGAAAATGGACTTGCTTCCTTGGGCCTTATATCTAACTCTAGCCCACCTTTCCTGTCCAACCGCGGGTTGGCTGTGCTCCCCACCGCCAAATCCTCCGCTCCGTGCCCCCTGCTCCCCGGAGGCTGCGCATCCGGCTCCAGCAGCTCCATCCACCTTCCCTAAGCTCCCTGCAGCTTCTGTTCATCTCCTCCCTGGGATGTCACTTGTGCTGAGCATTCTGCTTGGGATTTCAGCTACCTGGGTACCTGCGGGTCTCACCCCTGACCACAAGCTCCTCAGGGAAGAGGGGATGGGAAAGAAACAAGACAGGATCAAGTTTGCGTCATCACTGTGGGCAAGTTACCTACCACATCTGAGGTCAGTTTCTTCATCAGTAAAATGGGGTATTGCCTGCTTTGTCGTATTGCTGTGCAGCTGAGTGATAGAGCCCATGCAGCTCATTTGCCTGCTATCCTGTAGGTGCTCAAGGAATGTCAGCTCTCATCAGAACTGTGAGCCTGGTTGGAACTGGTGAGTGGTTAAATTTTTAAAAAAATCACATTACTAATGGAAATTGAATGTTGGAGGATTTCTAGTGAGCATATGAGAGGGGAAAAAAAAATAAAAAGATTGCTTTGCAGTGGAAACGTTTCACTGTGTCTGTGCTGTGGTTGGAGACTTCAGTAAGACGGGAGCTGAGCAGAGGTCTACTGTGTGTCCTGTGAGGCCACTGCCTCACAGTGTTTAATAACCAGTTCTCCAGGAGGAAATGGTGAGTGTGCATCTGTGCATATATACAATACAATGCATATATATTATAAACTTACTTGATATAAAGGATGTGTAACACAATTTACAAACAATAATGATATATTCTCTCATTTTTTCTTTTTTTTTGGAGGGAAGCAGGTAGAAACTCACTCTGTTGCCCAGGTTGGAGTGCAATGGTGCAATCATAGCTCACTGCAGCCTTAAACTCGCCGGCTCAAGCAATCCTCCCGCCCCAGCCTCCAAATTACCTGGGACCACAGGCACGTGACACCATGCCTGGCTAATTCTTTCTGTTTTGCAGAGATGGGGGTCTTGTACTATTGCCCTAGCTGGTATTGAACTCCTAGGCTCAAATGATCCTCTTGCCTCAGCCTTCCAAAGCTCTAAGTTTACAGGTGTGAGCTACCATGCCCTGCCTCACTAATCTTTATTGCAAATGCCACCCACCTATAACTTCAGTATGACTTGGTATTTCCTGCAAACTCAGTTTTTCTAATTCTGTCCTCAAGAATAGTGTCACCAAACCAGACTACAAATAAATGTTTGACTCCTTTGTGAGTTGCCAAAGATGTCACTCATAATACTGATGAATGAGTGGAGCTCTAACATGCTACCATGTGGGAGGCTGTGCCTCTGGGTATGGTAGGGACGATAGGGAGGAAAGCTGTAACTTGAACCCTGGTCTGTGACTCCTCTTCTAATTATAACCCACGGTGATGAGAAAGTCAAGGAAGATTTGGCTTCTGCCCATAAGAACCTCCAATTAGTGGAGGGGAAGAGGTGGTTAAGGTAGTAAGTAGCTGGTTAGTTGTGCTGTCTGAGATGGACAATAGGAGCAGAATGTGGAGTGGCCCCTGGATAATGGGGTCCAGGGTAGGAAGGAGGTTGTGTTTTCCACCTCCTGCCTCCCACTTCCCACAGTGGTAGCCTCGGCCTTCCAGGAATTGCTTCTCCCCACCTGGAGAAAGGGACTAGAAGGCAGCTTATTTAGGCTGCTTGCTGCTCCACTGTCACAAAGACTCTGGAGAACTGAGGTTACAGTAGTGCACTCAGTCTGCCTCCAGGGCCTCCTGGGTCTGGCCAGGAGTGAGATGAGGTCCACCATTGTTTTTTTGTTTTTGTAGAGATGGGGTCTACAAACCCCTGTCAAAAGCTGGGATCATACAAAGGAGCATTAGTCTGGGAGACAGGGAGTGAGGTTCTAGCTTTCCACTCACTGTGTAGTTTCCAGCAAGTCCTACCCCTGTTGGGGCCTTTAGTTTCCTTATCTGGAAAACAAGGGGCCTAGGATGGGTGGCCAAGACTCCTTCACTCAAATGCCTGGTAATCTTGGCAGGTACCTGGAGTTGGCATTTCTCATGTGATTCCACCAGAGGGCGCCAAATCCTAGCTCTTGCCAACTTAGTTCCTAATGTGGGTGTCTAGTAGGGAGAGTGCAGAGGAGGTGGAGTGTGAGTTGAGTGTGATAAAGTGTGTGGAAGCAATTAGCAATGAAGTGTATGAGAGAGAGAGAGAGAGACAGAATGAGAAAGAGAGAGAGAGAGAGTGTGTGTGTGTGTGTGTGTGTGTGTGTGTGTGTAGCACCAAAAGCTCCTATAACCGCCTGTATCTCCCACCCACCACCACCCCTGCCTGCTGGCTGCATCTTCAGCCACTTGCATTCTCCTTTCTTAGCTCTTAGGGCCTCCTCCACGCCCTGCCTGAAAGGTCTGGCCTCAGAGCCTTTGTCCTTGCTGTCCCTCTAGCTTGGAACACACATCCCTAAGGCATCCACAGGGCCCTCCCTCCTTTCTTCTTCATGAGGCCTTCCTAACCAATGTACATAAAATAGCAACCCCCAAACACATTCTATGCTTTAGTTAAAAACATTTTTTTTAAAAACTGTGGTAAAATATATCATAAAACCACTATTTTAACCATTAATTAAAAAAAAAATAAAAATATAGTTAAATACATGTAACATCAAGTTTCCTGTCTTGGCTATTTTTAAGTGTAGAGTTCAGTAGTGTAAAGTACATTCACATTTATGTGCAGTTGATCTGCCAGACTATTTTTGTCTGGAAAACTGAAGCTCTGCACCTACTTAAGAGTTCCCCATTTCCTCCTCCCTGTGGCCCCTGGCAAACACTACTCCACTTTCTGTTTCTAAGAATTTGACTACATTCGGTATCTCATGTAAGTGGAATTGTACAGTATTTATCTTCTTGTGGCTCTTATTTAATGTAGCATAATGTCCTTCCAGTAGTGATGAGCCCTCATGCTAGCATGTGCTGGAATTTCCTTCCTTCTTAAGGCCGAATAATACCCCAGCGTGTGCTGGTACCATGTTGCATTGACCCACTCATGGATGGATAGTTGGGTTGCTTCTGTCATTTGGCTGTTGTGAATATTGCTACCATAAGCATGGGTGTACGAATACCTGTTTGAGCTCCTGATTTCAATTACTATTATTATTATTGGAGTCAAGGTCTCAGTCTGTTACCCAGCCTGCATTGCAGGGGCACAGTCTCGGCTCACTGCAGCCGCAACCTCTCAAGGCCCAGGCAATACTTCCATGTCAGTCTCCCAAGTAGCTGGGACTCCAGTCTTGCACCACCACTCCCAGCTAATTTTATTTTATTTTATTTTTGTAGAGACAGGGTCTCACTCTGTTGCCCAGACTGGTCTGGAACTCAGCTCAACTGGTCCTCCTGTCTTGGCCTGCCAAAGTGCTGGGATCACAGGCGTGAGCCATTGCACCTTTCCCCACTTTCAATTCTTTCTTCCATGCTTCATTTTTTCTGCAGAGCACTGATTACCATCCAACTGCCCTCTTCCAGCCCACAACTAGAGATGCAAATGATTTCTATTTGGTAGAAAGATAACCCTAAAAGTTATAATTGTATTGCCTTAAGGACATTAGCCAGTTTTATTTCTTTATTTTTATTTATTTATTTTTTTGAGACAGAGCCTTGCTCTGTCACTAAGAATGGAGTGCAGTGGTGCAATCTTGACTCACTGCAACCTCTGCCTCCCGGATTCAAGCGATTCTCATGCCTCAGCCTCCCAAATAGCTGGGATTACAGACACCCACCACTATGCCCAACTAATGTTTGTGTTTGTAGTAGAGGTGGGGTTTCACTGCCTTAGCCAGGCTGGTCTCGATCTCCCAACCTCAGATGATCCAACCTGCCTTAGCCTCCCAAATTGCTGGGATTACAGGTGTGAGCCACCATGCCCAGCCGCAACCAGTTTTATTTCTAACCTAGTAATTTTATTCTAACATTCTTTTTAAAATGTCTATACTTAGGTCCTCCAAATTTTGTTTGGACCAGCTTTACCATCTTACTTGTTTCATCATTAATGATTAATAAATCTCTGATATGTGTTCATTTCATCTTTGTTATGGAGTTGTGTTTTTTAACTTTTAAAAAAGTATGCATTGGCATCCAGAATTTTTCCCCAAGGGCTAAAATATGCGTTTGGATGAAATTCAGTACATCAGCCGTTTAGGACTTGGGGTGTTTGGGGGTGGCCTACACTAAGCCATGCAAGTGCTTGGGGAGCCTCCTGAGTTGTGGCTCTCATTGGTGTACCCAGGGGGTCTGGAAATTCCAGGAAGCTGATGAGGACCTGCACCTGCTGGGCCCCAGGAAAGGCGGCAAGCTTGCTCTAACACCACAATAGCCAGTACTTCCTCAGCACTCGCTACGAGCCAGGCACGTTCCGAAAGCTTCCTATGTGTTAGTTTATCCTCACATGGTCCCCCTGAAATGGATACTAGTTTGCAGATGAGGGAACAAGCTCAGAGGGTCTAAGGAACACAGTTGAAGCAAAAATCACAGAAGATCTTGACCTAAATAAAGTGGTTCTATGTGCATCAAGATGGTTGAGTGGATTTTTTTCTCTAGTTCTGCAACTTCATCTAAGATCAAAGCCAAGAGGGGGAAGCTAAGGAATAGTCTATGGTAGGAGCAGCCTTGCTGGTGGGGGCAGACCCCAGCCATACAGGCAGACACCATCCATCAGGGGACTGTGGTCTCCCGTGGGACAGATGCAGTTCCAGGGGGCTTGCTGAGAGGTGCCAGTTCAAAAACTAGACCATCCCACCAACTGCCTTTTCATTTTCATCTGGGTAATGGGAGAGGGATGTTGCCATTGGCGGGGGATGGGTGCAGACTTCAGGAAAGGAGCTTCTTAACTCACCTTATCACTCTGGGAGGCAGATCCTAAGAGCATCACTGTGAAGGTTG